AATTTAAATTTCTCCTTCAGAAAATGTAAATAGAGAGGATCATAAAGTTGGAATTATTGATATATTATCAAATTTCAGAATTTTCATCAGCATTTTCGTTACATTGGTTACGTGCACGGTTATTGGATTTCTGGATGTCGGTCTTGAGCCTCATTTGAGAGAGGTAAATAAAGAAGACGATTCATTACTATTTATCATTTATCATTGTTGATTTTACCCAAAGCCCTTTGAAAATACAAAATTAACACATTTTGAATGGACTTAATTACACAGTTAATTCGAATAATGATTATTGCTAAAATTTTCTAATTTATTGATTTCTTTCTAGTTTGCTCAACTCAGATCATCAACTGTTGGAGTTATATTCTTGGTTGCTGGTTTATTTTATGGATTGACAACTTACCTCGTTGGCCTTATAGTACCAAAAATAAAAGACGTTACTTTCCTAAACATTTTCGGCTTGATTTTATCTGGACTAGCCTTTGTCTTTATCGGACCGATGTATCCTGTACCAATAAATCCGTAAGTTTTTCAACAAATGCTCTCAAGAAATATAATTTCGGACTTTGAATACAGTCGACAATTACTTCATTGCCTCTCTTTTATTCAGGTCGATTGCGTTGGTTATAGTTTGTCAAGTTCTCTTTGGTATCGGTTCTTCAGTTAGTTTGGTGTCCAACTTTTCACAATCTATGAGAGAGAAAGAGTAAGTCTCATTTGCTAATCAAACTATTTGCTTAATTAGACGAAATTGTTATTCTCATTGTTTCTCGTTCCTTTTATCTAGTTTATCAGATATGAAAGACGATTCTGGAGCTGCATCAATAATTAGCAGTTTATTCATCTCAATCTTCTCATTAGGGTGAGTAGCGCTTTTTGCTAATTTATAATACTTTGAAATGGTTTTTTTAATTCAACTTCATGTAAAATTTTTCTAATTTTTTCACATTCACTGTTTAACTTTCAAAACATTTAGAAGCGCGATAGGTCCAATAGTTGGAGGCCAATTAGTAGCGAGATATAAATTTGGTGAAGCCTGTACCTTTATGGTAGGACTTATATCTGCAACGGTAAGTTTTCATTCAAATTGAAATTTTAAGATCGCAAATTAACTAATATCTTTACTTAACAACAGTTGCTTTTGGTTGTCCTGACAATAATTTTTCACAAGAGACCGTATACAATCGCAGAATCGACACCACCAAGAGTAGTTGTCCAACGACTTGCGTCAACTCAGCATCGTAATATCGTTAAAATTAAGGAAGTGGAATTCAAAAAAACCGCAATGTGACCAAGTTTAAAATTAATAAACATCTAACTATCAAGACTTGAAGCCAATCAATTCTGGTTTCTCTACGACCTCAAGTATACATGTATCAAACAGTATTAGATTCTAGATGTAGAAGAATAGATTAAAATGTTATTTCCAATGAATTGTAATGGACTGTCACAAGCTCTTTATTTGAAATTCAGCCAATGAGAAAGAATCAAAAACTAACTTGGTATCTCAAAGTAGCTAACTTCAGTAAGCTACGCAATGTTCTCCTCAAAACGCTTCAACAGAGAAAATATATCGTACCAAGTCCACAAAAATTGAATTGTTAGCTTTATTCAGTCTTGCCTGTTAATTCCCTAGTTTTCCCTACTCATATTACACACTTCGAGTGTATTGAAAATCTACTCTACAAGCGTTCAGGATATTTTTTTCCGTCAAAATCGGATTCAGAAAAATAAAGATGTGATTTAAAAAAATTATGCTTTAATCTTGTATATTTCTCTCCTTCTGCTTGAATGGAACTTGGAATGGCATGTAATGAAAAATGGACATTGAAATTTGACACAGATCGGAAACAGGTTTTTCGGGACCGACTTTTTTCCACTGCTTATTGAATCTCTCTCAAAAATCTTGTAAAGATACTCTTTTAATGCAATAATCTGTGATAAGTAGGATGTCTACTTTTCTTACGCTTTATAAATATAATATGACAAAACAATGGTAAGCCCAGTCAATAAATTTCTTTCAAGTTTAATGGCAAAACTGTACGATTGAGTTACACCTTTTTTTGAACGCAGAAATCATTGTTTCACTTGCATTGATCAAATTTTACGCAATAATGTCTTAGTATTGACGCAGGATTCTGAGTATTTCATGCAAAAAATCGTATATTTCGCGTATGATGAACATAGGCAAAAAATGGGTTAATCTCAATGAGCGTTGGTTACTCATTTGGAATACGCGTGTCAACACTTAGAACACTTTTGTTCTCGTGTCCATGGAAATATAAGAAGCGTTTATTTTTAAATTCGTAGCATTTTTAAGTTCAACGTTAAAATATTATTGATTTTTTTAATTTAATTTTTCCAAATTTAGTTATATATAAACTTATTGTTGAAGGGTAGAGTTACCCAAAAACAAGTTAATCATTCGGTTAATTGATAAAAGTTAAAGTTTTAAACTATTGGTTACTATCCTTAGAGATTACAAATCTTTCATTTCTTTATTTCATAATTTTTGTTTAACCAAATTTGTAATCTCCCGAGACTAAGTCTTATGATTTTTGTCTTTTTTGATTAATTACCAGTCTAAGACTCTGTCTAAATGACTTTCTAATTTTGTCTCCTTTTGTCTAAGACTTATCAAAATTTCCTTTTCCTTTAGAATAAGTTCATTCTATTTCCTTCCGTATTAATTGGTATAAATACCAGAAGTTTTCTGATTAATGTTTGTCTTACAGTTCACTTACAGTACTTTAATATTGTCAATTTTCATGTTTAAAACAGTTAAGAGAAATGCTAAAACCTTTGATAAATTTATGTTTAATTAAAGTTTCCTTTTGATTATAAATCTAAGTTTCTATTCAGTCTAAGACTAAGTCTGCCATCATTGTAAAATTTGTGCTTTCTAAGATAATTTGGTTAAAGTTCAAGTATTGAGTTTCAAAGTATACTTGACCATCATTAAGATTATAAAAGCCAAAGACTAAGTCTAAAGTGGTAAATGCTGTTTGAGCTAAAAGCTTGTGAATTGTTAATTATCATCCTGATACTGTTGTCTGAATTGACTTGTTCAACTTTAAGTATATTTTGGTTAGAATTTGGATTCTCAACCTAAGCTATATAACGCGTGCCAGTTAGCTTTTTTATGCTTTTACCTGTCCTGTCATTCAAGTCTAAGACTTACTAATCCTTCAACTTCTTTGGTCATTCTGGTGTTACTAATCCTGGTTAAAACAAGAAGTAATCTCAAGTTCTCAATAGTCTAAGACATTGTGTTTCAGTTGAACTCTGGTGATCCTAAAAGAACCTGATATTCAGGATTTGAAAGGCTTGAATAAATCTTCTGAGTGAATAAATTGTGTTTAAATTGTACGCAATTGAAGTGAATTTATTTGATTCGGTTAACTTAGTTTAAAACTATGAACTCTTCCTTTCATTGTAATGGAAGGATGCAATGTAACCCAATCAATATCATTGATGTAGATGAATCACCACTTTGTGATGACTTTTATGTTAACTTGCTTTAAAATGTTTATTACACATTGCTTACTGTAAACCCATCTGGTGCAACCAAAGGGTTGCCCTTGATATAAAAAGCTTGGGATGGAAAAAAAAGATTAGACTCCCTAAAAGAGTTTCAGTTGGTGGAGATGCCGAGTAGATTAAGTTCCTCACAATGATTCTAACTTTTAATTCTTTTGAACAAGATTGAGCGAAATTCTTGTCTTAAAGTCAATTTTTTGCAAATGTAAATGATAAAATTTTAATTGTTAATTCAATTAAATCAGTAAAATCGTGTTGACCTTCTTATGAAATACATAACAATTTGTCAAGTAAAGTGAGCATTTTTTCTCATTTCTTCGAAGAAAAACTGTGCTGTCTTAACTGATCAACATTTGATTCAACGGTAGCATCATCTATTTACTACAAAATTATCAACATAAACTCAAAAGGCATCTCCACCAACTGAAACTCTTCATGTGAGTCTTATCTTTATTTGTCATCCCAAGCTTTTTACATCAAGCACAACCCATTGGTTTCACCAGATGGGTTTACAGTAAGCAATGTTAGTTAGCAAAGCAAGTTAACATAAACATCTAATAAGCAATTAGCAATATATTTTTGGTTACATCTACTATCTATCATTGAACAAAGATTTATAATTGCAAAGATTTAATGCAACAGTGAGAAGCAAATTTGACGAAGCTATGGAGCTTGAAAGCACTTCCAATGTTGATCTACTGGGGAAGATTGCTGCCATTGAAAATTTCAACAAACAATTGATCAAGGAAATGAAACTACAATTGGATGGTTACCAATGGACGATAGACCGCTGCTTTAATGAAATTAGAGCTCATTCGAAGGATTGAGATGACAAAAAATGAAAAAATGGAATCAAAAGTGAAAAGCTATGTTTAGCTCATTGATATTGATTATCATGAAAAATTTGTTATGTTTACATTGATTATTTGTCACTTTGCATGATTTCTGCCAAATTTTGATATTTATTTTAGTTAAAATTAAATTTGTATTCAATTAAATATTTATTGTTCAAATTGGTAAGTCTTAAGAAGTCCTCGTCGGCTCACTTCTCTTCTCATTAGCTACAGCTAGTTTCGGCTTAAGCCGAATGACTAATTAATTAAACTGAATATTTAAGAGTTAATGAGTGTAATGCCTGCGTGATACATCCATTGAAGAGGCAAAAGGTATTGATAGCTCTGATGAGGACTCAAAGGCTGAACGCTTGACACGAATCAAAGCAAAGATAGATATTGGTCTACTCGGAGTTTAGAGAGCAGCTTAGAACTCCCTCAATCTTTCGTTGCTGATGTTTTGCGTTGAAAACTGCTGTGAGTGAGCTGAATGCAAGTGGGCAGATAGACGCTACAACGATTACCGACACGTTGAAACGTATTTCAATGCTGATGAATCATATATTTGATGTACCAAATTTAATCGAATTCCATTAAGAATGAAAAAGTTACACAAATCTCAATTCCCCTGGTCAACCTAATAATTAGCTTTTTTATGAGAAAATTTGTGTATCTGTGAATCCAATGATAAGTGTTTTTTTCATTGTTTCGTCCGAAAATCATATCTTGTCACTAATAATAAAACCAGTTTTTACGAGAGAAATCAGTCTTATTTTGGAGACCATCGACACAAAAAAAATAAAAGTGAGAATGTTTTTAACTATATTTGAGATTCCTAGATGTATAGACTTTTAACCCCTTTTGTTTTGCATGCTCATATTTTACAGTTTGAATCGTATTACTGAATCTATTTGTTTATTAAAAATACTAGAATTTTGTTTGATTTTTTAAACCTTTAATTGATTATTGTTTAAAGATGTTTTGAATTTTTTTCATTATGCAAGTTATGCGAAATTTTAATTTCAATTTTTTTGTAAATAAAAATTTCTTTCAGCGAAACCTGCTACGTTCAATGATCCTGCTGATTCCAATGTCTATGCTTTCAAATCTGTAAATTGGTAAAAAAGCTCTGTATTACGTAAACGATAGATTATATCTGTTAGATCTTGCTTACCAGAGTTCAGTCTGTCTGAAGATACTGCTTTTATGATTGTGTTTCTCATTGCCGTTGTTGAGTTTAGAATATCTCTCGAATGTTTTTTTCTCAGGATAAGAAACTATTCTCTTCATTGTTTTCACACTTAAATCGTTCACCAACGGCTGTCTAGGCTTTTTCACTAGTACGCTTTTAGTTGGGTTGAGCTTCTAAAACTCTGACAGCCATCTTCAGGTGTCTTCATGACAGCCTGAACAAAGGCTTTGTCGGCCATTTTATGTTACATTAAGGAGAAATTCTCGTTTGAAAGTCTTCGGCCTTTGCCAGTTCTAACAAACTGTTTACCTACCTACTTGAGGTAGGGCAAGGTAGTGACAATCAAAACGTTTGGGCCAGTTTTTCTTTCACTAGTAAAGTTACGTGAAAAGATATTGAAGATTGTCTATCGGATTCCTCTGTGTCCGTATCAAAATCAGTATCTTTTGCAGGGTCTTCAGGGTTTTGTCCGTCATACAAATAGTAATCTTTCATTATTTCACAAGAATTTCACCAGATTTCACTTTGAATATCACTTGTAATTAATGTTCAATATATTTAAAATAAAAGCAAAAACGGTTTAAGTTGCGAGCACATGCGGTCAACATGTCCGCCTTTATATGTCACCTTATTTATCATGACCGTCTCAATGCATGGCAAATATTAGGTCATTTCAAAAGTTTTTTACCTGACTATGTTCTAGCATAGTTAGAACTTTAATTTTTTTTGCAACAGATTCCTCGCACCTTCAACGTCTTAAAAATAGATTTTAAAGAAAATCCAAAAATGCATGTAATTTTGACGCCAAATTAATCAAAGATACCCAATTTTTAGGGGAAAAAAAGTTTGAATTCGAATATTTCCGCAAA